TCATGGAGCAACATTGGAGGCTTGGGTGGGTCTTGAAGACAAGGATTCAAGCTTAGAAGAAGAAGAAGATCTTGAGCTAAAATTTGTAATCTCTCTCTCTCTCTAGAAACTCACTCTTTTCTCTTGGGTGTTGTAGATCCCTACTAATACTTTGTAATTACTTGTTTAGATTGAATGATTTCGTATGGGTTGCATCAATTTGAGTATTAGAGGTGTTTTCATGGTGGTTGTGCTTAGTTGTGCTTTCCAAATCTTGTGCTTGCCTAACCTAGATTAGAGGAAAACCACACCTTTTTAGGTAGGCTTGACAAGCTTGGTTTTCCTGGGCACTTTGTGCCTACTATCTAGGTTAGAGATGAGCACCCTCGAATCAAGTTTGCATCTAGGTTGGTCGTGATTAAGCCGCTGAAACTCCGGTTTGAGGGAGAGACCTAGGCAAACCCTAGAGACCGAGTGAGAGGATCGATCCCGTGTCAAATGGATCACTAGTTGCTCCTACTAGCGGTTCCCCTAGACTTGGTGAGTGGATCGATCCCGTGACAAATCGATCGCTAGTGAATTGATTCCATGACATATCGACTACTAGTTGCTCACCCCCGCGGTTCACAACCACCTACGCCACCCGACTCCATTCAATCCAACGAGTCATGGTAGCTAGTTAGGGGGAATAAACTCCTGGGTGAAGCTCCCTTAGTTAGAGTTTTCCATTATTTACTTTTTTTGCTTGTTTAGTTGTAGTTTTCGTAGTTTGAAAACCCAAAACCGTTTTGCTAGATAACAGCTTAAGCGATTGAAGTAGGGGTACATGGACCGACCCGGGTTGAAAATTTAAATACTTGCTCTATACTGCACCCGGCTAGAGTTTAAAAACTTGGGCTCTAGTTGGGATTAATTCGCGGTGTAGTTTCATCTGTGTCAAGTTTTTGGCGATGTTGCCGAGGAACCGCGGTCCATTATTTTGAAAAGGTCGCTTAGTGTTATTCTAGCATTTTCTATCTTGCCTTTTTGTTCGTGTTTTATGTTTCGTGTTGTGTTTTGTTTACCCACTCTTCGTCTTGAAGGGTGGTTTGTGATTGTTTGATTTTGTTTTTGTGTTTTTGTTTGTGTAGATTATGAATCGTGGTCAGTTCACGGCCGTGAACTCAAGATGGGTGTCGAAACGCACCACTTTGCTTTCACGGATTCACTGGCAACATCTCCAATTCACGGTCTTAGTGACCGTGAACTCAATTAGCGTCAGTAACTTGAGATTTGGCCCTGGACGCCTTGATGTTCATGGGCAACAGCTCCTCTTCATGGTCTAAGCAGACCGTGAACATCCAAGGAAAGCTGCGAACTGCCTTCTTTTCACCTCTTCTCCCGGTTTTCGCTCCTTTTCGTCCAACTTTTGACTCCGTGGCTGGTTTCACGTGTTAGATCCTAAAACATGCTAAAACACAAGAAACCTCGCATAAAACCACCCTTTTAGGATCACGATTGCCACAAACACCTAAGGAAAACGGGGGTAAAATATGTACAATTAGGCCTGAATCATGTGTTAGATCCCTCTTACCATGGCGAGTAACATCATAGTTGTCACTAGTGAGTATGATGGAGGCATAGTATTAGTCCATGCCCAAATGTTGATTGTCCCGAAATGCTTTATCCCTTAGTCAACCCCTTTGAGCCTTGTGACTTTGGGGGTCGATTCTCTTGTAGAAGCTTTTTGCTTGCGAGCTTAATGGTGTTTGATAGAACGGCTCCCCATCCTTTCTTCGTGTCTATACGTGGGTCGTCCTTGTATCCCGGAGCTCTCGCTTACGAGTTCCATTGAGGTTCTACATAGGAGGATTGTGTGCCGTTCTTGCTAGGATTGAATGAGAAAAAAGTAGTGTTGGAGTGAGATCTTAAAAGAGAGCATTGGCTGTTAAAGGTAATGTGACATGTGTATTACTTTCTAGTACCCCCCTCAAAAAGAGAATAAAAGAGAAAAAAAAGGAAAGTAGAAAGAAAAAGAATCGAAAAAAGAGGTAATAAAATGGAGTAAATAAAGTAGAGAGTGCCACAAAAAATCAAAGAGTATGCTCTAGGAGGGTTTTCTTGGCATTCAAGCCATTGAAACCCCCACATTATTGTTGAGCTCCATCACTACCAAGTCAAAATGTGATAGCAAGAGTAGACCGAGGAAAAACGCTCAAAGGTAGTTCATGATGGGTGATAGTTTGGAAGGGAGAAGGAAGGTTTTTGGCTGATGCTAGTGGCCATTGTTTGTAGGGAAGGTTCTTAGTCGAAACCATATAACCCTCGGGTTTAGGGTGAAGATGTAGGACCTCATGTTTTGTTTGCCACCATCCAAAAGCCTTTACCCCATGTCCAAGACAATTACCACTCATTTGAACTCGTGTCTAAGATCTCCGGACAAGCTAGTGATGATAACTGTCCCGTGAACTCTAACATTTAGAGGTTTTCGCCGTGGTGAAGAGACAATAAGGCTGAGTGTTGATGATTGTGCACTTTCTTTGCACTAAAAAGGTCCAGACCCCACTAGTCAAGAGAGTGAGTGATTCATTCTTGCTTTGCATGTCATATCATACCTTGGTGAGGACCTTTGTTGCCCATCCATTTGTTCCATGGACTTGAATGTTATGCATGGTTAGTTTTGGTTGGTAAGTGATCTTGTTGAGACTTGCATTGATTCATGAACAAGGTGAGAACTTTTCGTTTGCCCGTTTTTGATGACCTCGAATGTCGTTTGTGGTGGATGTCGGTATTGCTTGCAGCAGTCCATGTGTTAATTGCCAATAGCCATTGAGATTCACCACTTTGTGCCCTTTGTTTTGTCCCCAAAGGATTTTGTTAGGTTGAGATGTTACCTTATGTGAAATGGTTTTCCCTTCTCCTAGCATGGAGTAGTCCCTTCTTTCACTTCGGTGTGTGTGAACCCTAGCTACAATTATGTGAATGCTTGTATGAATTGAATGATTTGTGTATGGTTGTGTTTAATGTGAATGTGGAGGTATTATTCATAAATGATTGTGTTGTGTTGTGTGAAAGCCTATCAATCTAATTGCCATTCTAATCAAGGTAGAGAGAAAACCCCCTTCCTTTCTTTGAAAGAGGCTTGAATGCTGGGTTTTCTTAGGCAATTCATTGTCTCATAGTTAGGTTAATGCAGGACAAACCTCCTATTTCGTATTAGCGTCTAGGGTTTGGTTGTGGGTGGCCTTCCGAACTCCTATTCGAGGGTGAAGTCTAATCAATCCTTAGTCAATAGGTTGAGAGAGTCGCATTAGTGGCTTGGATCGTATCCCCTTTCCTCGACCTAGAGACTAAGAGGGTAGCGTTGGCTACTTGTTAGACTTCCCCCCCCCCCCCCGCCCCCTCACCAAACACGGCCATTCGATCCATCAAATTGTAATTGCTAGGTAGGGGAGCAACACCCGGGTGAAGCTTTCTCAATTAGTGTCAAAACCATTTCTCTTTGCGAGTACTTTAGCATTAAATCTTTGTTTTGACCAAAAACCATCCGCTAGATAATGTTTCAAACAATCAAAGTAGCGGTAAATGAACCGGACCAGGTTGATATTTAAACATACTTGCCCTATATTGCACCCATCTAAGGTTTATACTTGGACCTTAGGTGAGATTTTATTGAGATAATCGGAGCGAGTCAGTATCGGTGGTGAATCAAGTGGTAACCTGTTGGCCAAAGTTTAGCAATTGTTTTGTAGAAGACTTGACAAATGGCTCTTGATCTATAAAATTTTTACTATATTAAATTAGTAATACATAGGATAGGATGAATAAAATCTCAAATTTGCTACAAAATTTTTAGAGTAAATACAATATAATAGTCAAACCTTTCATTTTAAACAAAATAATAACCAAATCTTTTCGAAAACAATATAATAGTCAAACCGTTAATTTTCCATCTGGTCAACTAACATGGCCAATACACGCTGACATGGCTGAAAGTCAATAATTTGACTGTGCCACATAGATATATATTAATTTTAACTAATTTTTTTATTAATAAAGTAATAATCTTAAAAAACCCACTCTTATCCCATCTCCTCCCTATTCTTGAACGCTCGTCCCATCCTTTCCCCGTCATTCTCGCTCCCTCTACTCCCTTCTCTCCACCTTACACCGCCATCGCCGCCGCCACTTCTAGAGCTTCAATTTCAGGCCCGATCTTTATTGGTCCTCTTCGCCACCCTCTGGGCCATGACCGACCTCCTCTGAATCCCGTCCTTCCGCCGCCGTTACCTCTCCCCTTTCCTCCCCAAATCCCTAATGCTCCCGTAACATATCTGCCTCTGCAGGATGACAGCCCGGGTTCATGGCGGAGCTCCTCCTCATCCAGTCCTCCAGCTCATCTTCATCTTGGGCGCTTTCTTCAGCCATATTTCGCAGTCGACGATTTTGGAAAGAAACAAGCGGTTTGGTCGGGAAGGCTAAGATCTAGAAATAAACGAGTAATAAGTCTGGTTGGAGCTCAGCGGAGCTATCGCTTGCTAGTATCGCCCTCTGGTCTCTCGTTCACAATCCCTCCACTCCCAAATATGAAAAGAGAGGAATGAGGGAAATGGGTAGATGAATCTTTGATTTTGGATTTTGATGTGCAGAGAAGTTACAGTCTTTGATTTTGGATTTTGATGTAAAGGGATGAAGAGAGACAGATTGAGAACCCTTATGCATCCGAAGCATTTTAATTTATTTTAAAGAATAATTAATTGACATTAATATATATCCATTCTTTTTCCATATCAGCAAGTAGTGGCCACGTCACAGTCAACTAACGATGGACTGGACGGAAAGTTAACGATTTGGATATTATATTGTTTTCGAAAAGGTTAAGTTATTATTTTACTTAAAACGAAAGGTTTGGCGTATTTACCAAATTTTTATGTGAACTAAACAAAAATGAAACTAAACATTCCGGGCAGTCAAGGATCAACGGACCGGCGAGTAGTATATATATAAAGTATAAACCGCAGAAGGAAGGAACACGAACAGCAGCCGGGATGAGAAAACTCGCAGGAGGAAAGGAACACCGTCAGGAAAAAAACGAAGAAGTCCATAATAGAGCAGAAATAATAAGATCACTCGTCAGAACTGCAGAGCGCCAACCATTATAGATAAGAAGCGTCCTCGAAAATCCAAAAAGGGCGCGTGGCAGCCCCACAAAAGTCTGCGATATTTGTTTAATCTCACAAAAATCAACCGTACCCAAAACGAAGAAGCAGACTCTCTCCTCTCTATCTCTCTCGAGTACCTAATCGTTAAACGAGAGGACCGGTTGAAGAGAAACCCGGAGAGGGAGACGCCATGGCCACTGCTTCTTTGTGTTGTTCGGCTCGGATCAATGCATTCGATGGAGGGCTTCGGATTCAAAGGAGCTACCTTTTCCAACCAACTTCACTTCCTGTTCCCAGGTAGTACGTCTCGTCATTTCCGCTTCTCCTTCCGATTGAATTCTAGTGGCCTCGGTGTATTTTGCTGCCGTGTCTACCTGATCGCGAGGCGAATTCTGATATGTTTGGGGGGAACCTAGTTCAATCAGAAATGCTGAGTTTTCTTATAAAAACATTGGGGTTGATTGAGTTGAGTCGTGGAAGGTCTTTCTGGTTGGAGAACTGTTAGTTCTACGGGGGCTGTAATTGAGGTCTCTTTGTGCTTGGTCGAGAGCTGAGGAAGGAAGTCGGTCAGTCTAAAACTAGCCTTTTTAGTGTTTGTGATAATGCCTCTGTGACCGCTGGACTGGTTATTCGTGTGATGCGTCAGTTGTCACACCAAATTAAGGCAGATAGTTTACACCAACCCAAGTGTGCGATTTGATGTTGAATTTCTGTTTTCACCAAGTTTGCTTTCCTGAAATGGTGAGAAACCAACACAAAAAAGGCCCACCCATCTCTGGGATTTGAAATGTTGAAGCTTGTTTGAGTGTGGCTATTGAGCTGCAATTCGCCTTTCCTTATGAAGCAAAATTTATCATCATGTTCACTCAAATGATATATGATTCTTATGTCAACTGACGCATCACACGCCATAGAGCTTCTTCAGATTGAGAGACTGGATCCTATCAACGGATAATATCCATGACCCACTCCTGAGTACTTGTTTTACTGTAATATTGCTTTTGGACTTGTATCTCATCTCTGCAATCTCAAGAGAATCTTTTATTTCTTTTAAATGCTCCGAATTTATGCAGCTATTCAGTGCTTAGGCTAAATGTGTGCAACTTTAATGCAGGAGAAAAGTTCAGTCAATAACGAGGGCAACTTCTCGTGTTGATAAGTTCTCGAAAAGTGATATCATCGTTTCACCATCTATCCTGTCTGCTAATTTTGCGAAGTTGGGAGAGCAGGTTACTTATTGCTCCTTGCTCTTGCTATAAGAGTGTTAAATCTATTAATCTTATGATCGGTTTCTATTACTAAATGGGTTGGAGAAATGAACTGGAGACTGTAAAATGAATCCATGCTATTACTGCTGGTTGCAGATCTATTTCTTGCTAATTTGTCCCCATTCGCTTCAGTGTTGAATATCTATGTTGATTGGTTTTTTAAAGTCAAATTTGTACATATGTCTAGGTCAAAGCAGTCGAGGAAGCGGGATGTGATTGGATCCATGTTGATGTAATGGATGGTCGTTTTGTGCCCAATATCACCATTGGACCTCTTGTGGTTGATGCTCTGCGCCCTGTGACAGATCTCCCCTTAGATGTGCACTTGGTACCCAGTTATGCTTTGTTTTCACTACTTTTTTTTTTTTTGTCAAATTAAGAAAAAGTCCAATTTTCTCATTAACAATCATTAATTCAGATGATCGTGGAACCTGATCAACGTGTGCCAGATTTTATCAAGGCTGGGGCTGACATAGTCAGCGTTCACTGTGAACAATCTTCCACCATCCATTTACATCGTACAGTAAATCAGGTAATTTCTATATCTGCTTTCTCGTGTTGGGTGAATGAGGTGTAAGAACTGGCAGGATGTCTTGGATACTTGAAATAGCTTGGCAGTTGCCTTATTTATCGTCTCAATTCACTGGTTAACCTCAGGGGTTGGGCAACTAATCGAAACGCATACACTCTTAATACCAGACAATTCTTTGTATTACTTTCGTTTTTTGTCTTAAAAACAAGAAAGAGTAGCAACCCGATACAGCACATGTACTTTGCCCCAAAAAAATCATTGATAGCTGGCACTACTTTATTTTCAGTGGTTTTAATTTATGAAACCTAGTACTCTACTTGCTGTAAACTCTACCTGTTTCAAAGATAATGTTAGATGCCCACGTTTACACGTCCTTTTTCGTTTTCGTTTTCGGAACTTGATCTTGACTTTCACATATTTCATCAGTTGTGGTATTTGCTCTGTTCATTTTCCATTCTCCTGCAACTAGATAAAAAGCCTTGGAGCCAAAGCTGGAGTTGTCTTGAACCCTGGCACCCCTTTGGGTGCTATTGAATATATTCTTGATGGTGAGTGTCGATGACCTTCCACTTATGGCCTTGAGAATATTCTTTACTCGTGTATTATTTGTTGGTTTGGAATGTCGATGACCTGCATATGAAGGGTCGAGCCAGTGTTCATCTATAAAAGAAATTCAAACGAAGGTGGTCAGCCTGGTGTCATCAAAGTTCTGTGTTTTTCATTTTTCTGAGGTTAAGTGACACTAAAAGTCCTGCGTACCCATGGATTAGAAAAGGACTCTTAGAATAACAGTAGTGGAGGATATACTGAGAATCGAGAATAGCAGCATGCACGTAAGCGTAATGGATTTTATGTGGTTCCTATCACGAGCAGATACTGATGCTTCTCTGTTTGGGGGTATTTTGGTTCAACCTGAGTTAATCACAGGAAGCCCATAGCACTTCCTTAAGTACAGTGGTTGTCTAGCATCCCAATTTCCTAATGGGTGTTGGTTTGTTAGTATGAGCTCAGCAAGTGCATGCATGTTGACGTCTCAACATAGCATTTTAACAAAGGAACTATGCTAACGAATGTGATAAACTTGAAGCATTTTGAGCTAATGAAGAACCACATGGTCCTTTCATTTGGTAGTATATGCAATTCGATGTTACTGTTAAGTGAATCTTTGCATGTTGACAGTGGTTGATCTGGTCTTGATTATGTCGGTGAACCCTGGTTTCGGTGGTCAAAGCTTCATTGAGAGCCAAGTAAAGAAGATTGCTGACCTACGGAGATTATGTGTGGAGAAGGTAATCATCACTTTCCATCTGTACATATGAAATATTGTATTATGCGGGCTTGTGTACATAACTTTTGCTGGTAGTACTCCCTTTGGCTGTTAATTAGCTCATCCAATTGTTTATGCAGGGAGTAAATCCATGGATAGAGGTTGATGGTGGTGTTGGTCCTAAAAATGCTTACAAGGTACTGAATGTAGCCAAAATCTATATTGAGTCTGCTTGGAAGTTAAAAGTTAAAATTATCGTATAATGCTTTGTACTTGTATTAAATTCTTTTGCTCCATGGATCAGTTCCTAAAAGGTTGTGCGATATGATGTTAGAAGTGAAGCATAATGATCTTTTACATCCAACTACTTAAGCTCTCCCCCTTGCATTCCCACTACTAGCTCATCAGTTTTTCTCCGCAGAGTCGATTTAGGCCTATTTTTGACTTAGTCCAAAAAACACTTGATGGTGGGCAGGTTATTGAGGCTGGAGCAAATGCTTTAGTTGCTGGTTCGGCTGTTTTTGGCGCCAAAGATTATGCTGAAGGTATGATTTTGTCAGCAAGCATCTTTATTTTCTATATCTTACCTTTTGATTTGTTTTATGTCTCAAGTTCTTGAACACTTACTTTCTGCACAATTGGAATCTTGTATAGCTATAAAAGGAATCAAAACCAGCACAAGGCCAGTAGCAGTACCAGCATGAAGTTTGATCACCTATATCAACTTTGATTAGTTACTGGGAAGCTTCTTCATGTTCGCACGTAGGTCCCTACATTCCCTTTGTACTTCAGAAGTCTGGAATCTCAGATGGTCTTCAAGTTTGTCCCCTTTTGTGCATGTTGCTACTTGAGTGGGTGTATAGTAATAGAACCATTCTATGACGTCTTTTATCCTAAGCCAGGGTGGTATTGCTTCCATTTTCAGATAATACGCACAAAGCAGATACAGGTGGCAGATTCCTCCTCTGGTGTTCGATGAGCAATTGTCTGTTGGTCCGAGTTCCTTGGTGGCCAACAGCTACAAAATAAAATTTTAAAAAGAAACTTGGTGGCAAGAATTGGTGCCACAAGGTATATTTTGTATTATATCCAGCCACGGGTACTGAATATTTCATGCCGCTCTGCTTCAAATCCAAGAAAAGTTTTTCTATCGGGTTCATACTTTTGTTTTGACTTAAAATTCACAAGATATACTGGAAAATTTAAGCAAAGTAAGCCAGCTACAATTTAGTATACATCCTTCCTGGCGGCAAACAGGGCAGGCGCCCCTTATCTAGTGGCGGACCCAGAATTGTCGGAGAGGTGTGCTGCCGATGAAATAAAATTAAAATTAAAAAAATAAGAATTTAATTAAATTTTTTAATTAAATAAACTAGAAATTATTAGAAATTAATTCATAATGTCATGTTTACAACGAACCACGACGACTTGTCATGTCCTGGAATGTCAGTAAAATACATTCATCGCTTATGTTGCGAAGCAAATCCTTTTTGATATACACAACTAAACAGTCATTCATAAATTGGTCTTTTTTTTTTGAATAAATTGGTCACACAACCGATTTCGAAGTTCATTCTTGTTTATCTTCATAGTTGAAAATGCTCTTTCGCGCCTTACAATTGCAACAAGTAAAATCAAAACCAACTTCAAGAGCAAGTAAACTGAAGGATAAAATAAAAGGGGATGTGACAATTGATCTCGGTAATTAGAACAAGCATATTTATTTGATTTTACTTCTTATTTTTTATTACTAATTAAGATAGATAAATTTATAACCACGAAATCATTCTCGTACAATAAAGGTGTGTCGCAAGTCTCAAATTAAAAAAATTTGTACCGAAAATATGTAGGTTATTCACAAAATTTTCGGGCCGACACACCCTGCCCCTTCTTAGGTCCGCCCCTGCCCTTATCCACACATCCCAAGTGGAAGGAGTGTTGACATTTAGACAACTTCGGGCCATCTCCCTTTTATGTAGTAGTCTCTTAAATTTTTTTTTTGGTAATATTTAAAATTAAATTAATAATCAAATTTTTAAAAAATATTTTTAAATAAGAAAGTATCTAACTAGTACAAGTTACACAAAAGTCAACGACTTGTTATCATATTTTGAAAAAAATTATAAAGTTAAATAGACTCCCTTGTTCTTAACAAATCTCCTTCAATATATCCTACTAAACAATCATTCATGAACTTATTGCTATATGATTTCAAAACTTGTTATTGATCTAACTCTAAGTTGGGTAAGGTCTCTCAACTCTTGACACGCAACCGGTAAAATCAATACAATTTTGAGTAGCAAATTGACCCACAAATATTCATAAAAAAAAATTGACCCACGAATATGATAGTTTCAATTTTGTCTCAACCGTCAACTCATCTAATTCATCATTTTTTCTTAATTCACAAAAGAACTCATCATTCTTAACACAATGATAATAATTCTCAAAATTACAAAGGTGATCAAACTTTTCGAGATAAAATCATATGTTAGCGGTGGGGATAACAGATATTTCGTGGGTTTAATTTTACGCTTGGGAAATTTGGAAATCATAGCTACATGTTTATAGTACTTTTATAACAAAATTACAATAACAATTGAAATGTAGTCGAATAGAAAAGATGTTCACTAATAACCAAAAATGCGCTAAGCATAAGGCGAGCGTTCGACTCCTGACTTGCGGCTTGCCCGATTAGGCGTAGCCTTAGCATGCCTAGGCGTTCAAAGCAGAAATGGAAAAAATTCTCAAATATTTCCTGCTTACTTCATATGAGCCAAGTGCATAAAAAATTAGCAATGCCTAATTCTTAATAGTAAACACTTAACATAACAAATAACAAGCAAATAGTGACCACTTCCTAGAATCACAAGTTTATAAAATGTCGAAATACTAAACAATAGTCAATAAGTTCATAGGAAAATATTCATTCTTCATCATCTGATGAGCATTATGGCGAGGTAAGGCCCAAGAAGAGAAGGCTCGCACGTACGGCCAACTCAAGCAACACACGTGGCTGAAAAGCCCATGCAAGAGAGAGTCCATCTTATGCCTTCAACGTAGGAGTCAGTTTCCATTTGGTTGTTTGGATTGCTTAGGAACTGCTGATCACCTTAAGTGATTCGGCGGGATCTCGGCGGTTTATTTTGTTTGATTTGATTTGTTTGTTATTTAAGATCAGAAGAGTATCTCCGGAGACTCATCCGCTTAGGTTACTTCTCATATTTAGTCGGATTCAATAAAGAAGGCAGTGAATTATTATCTAAATTTAAGTCTCTCAAACTGGCCCGTTCTCGCCAAAAGAAGAGCAAAATCACCCCGTTGATCCAACGGTTTCAACATTTGGTATCAGAGCCAATGACGAATCCACCCGTCACCCGCGGTGCGGAGGTTGCCACAAGGGAGAAGGTTGATCTCCTTGAGGGATCCTTGCAAAGCCTCCAAGAAGCTGTTCAGCAAACCCTCCATGGTGATGTGCGGCGGCTAGACGGGACCGGGACCGACCTCGCCGGATGGCTTCAGAACTTGGAGACAGGACAGGCGGAGATCATAAAGTTGCCGCGCAGCCGTGAGACGGCGAAGACGGAAAACTCGATCTCGAGTTCAAGTCACCATTTTCGTCGACGGGAGGAAAGACCTCGACCAAATAGATTGGATGACATGGGACGAGCCATGTTTCCCACGCGCTTCGCTAAGTTGGAATTTCCCCGCTTCGCCGGCGATGACCCAACCGAGTGGTTCACTCGGGTCTACCAGTTCTTTGAATACCAAGGAGTAGAAGATGATCAGAAAGTACCGCTAGCGGCCTACCACCTCGAGGAGGAAGCAAACCAGTGGTGGCGTTGGATGAGTAAGGCATACGCCACGGATGGGGTTATAATCACCTGGGAGTAGTTTGCTAATGAGCTATGGACACGTTTTGGGCCGGCAGATGAAGTTGAGGCTGATGAGGCCCTGGCCCGCATTCGCCAAACGGGGTCACTCCGGGATTACCAGAAAGAGTTCGAACGACTCGGAAATAAGGTGGGAGGTTGGACACAAAAGGCCTTGGTCGGGGCTTTCATGGATGGACTGAAGCCTGAAATTTTCGAGACCCTTCGTCTGTTCCGACCCGAATCTCTCAAAGAATCAATCTGCTTGGCTCGGATTCGAGAAGAACAACTATCCAGGACTAAGGCGGTCCCTCGAGCATCGACCACCCGCCTTCCCACCGTCACCGAGACTCGACCTCCAGAATTTCCGACGAAGCCCTGAACAAATCCACCACGAAGGCTCTCCTGGGAGGAACAACAACGACGCCGCCAGCAAGGGTTATGTTTCAACTGTGACGAGAAGTTCCATGCCGCGCATCGTTGCAAAGCTCCACCCGCACTGCTCATGACGACGGCTGATTTTGAAGAGGATGGAGAAGACGAACCGGAAATATCCTTCAATGCTTTGGCGGGACTCTCGGCCGGACGAACCATGCTTCTATGGGCCTCAGTGGGTCAAGCCCAAGTACTCGTTCTCATTGACAGTGGATCCACTCACAACTTTGTGAGTAACCGGGCGGCCGCAAATCTCCACCTACCCGCTATACCGATCCGGCCCTTTAACGTCAAGATTGCCGATGGTAAGCCACTCCCATGCAACGTAAAATATGAAAATGTGACCCTCCACATGCAGGGAGAAAATTTTCCTATTCCTTTATTTGCCATCAATTTGGCTGGGGTGGACGTGGTATTGGGCATCCAGTGGCTAGCTTCTCTAGGCAATATTTTGTGTAATTGGCAAGCTCTCACCATGGAGTTCGACTGGGGAGAACGACATCACCAATTGACAGGACTCGCAGCCGATGATCATGCTCTCCATTCTCTTAAACGATTGGCCAAGGATGTCCAGGATGGCAGCACATTGCGAACTATATGTCTTCCACCGGTTACCATCGACCCACTCTGACAGGTCCCGGCAGAATTACACGAAATGCTAAGGCCCACACGTACGGCCAGCTCATGCAACACACGTGGCTGAAAAGCCGATGCAAGAGAGAGTCCATCTGCTGCCTTCAACGTAGGAGTCAGTTTCCATTTGGTTGTTTGGATTGCTTAGGAACTGCTGATCACCTTAAGTGATTTGGCGGGATCTCGTCGGTTTATTTTGTTTGATTTGATTTGTTTGTTTGTTATTTAAGATCGGAAGAGTATCTCCGGAGACTCATCCGCGTAGGTTACTTCTCCTATTTAAAGGAGTCGGATTCAATAAAGAAGGCAGTGAATTATTATCTAAATTTAAGTCTCTCAAACTGGCACGTTCTCGCCAAAAGAAGAACAAAATCACCCCGTTGATCCAACAGTTTCAACATCATCCAAGTAGGTCTGTCCAGCCATCCCTTCATCTTCATCATCCTCAAAAGCAATCTCCTCACCCTCCTCCCCCTTTTCCTCCTCTCCAGACTCGAATTCTTCATCATGCAGTCCTCTCACTCGTGCACTCCTGCGAAACTCTCTGTGTTCACCAGCCATTGCATCTGTAACAGTACTCGAGGGTGCACAATATGATCCCTCATCCTCATCCACGAATACATACATAGCATGGTCATCCCATCCCTCAAATAGGAAGCCTTGTGCTTCAGTTGCATCAATACTTAAGAGAATATCAAAGTTTTTCTTTTCCTTTATCTTCTTCTTCTTGGACATCAACCTCGAGTTGAACTGTATGTACACCAATTGATTGAGATGATCTGTTGTAAGCCTATTCCTTCTCTTGGTATGTATCTACAAGTACAAAATTGCATTGCAAGACAAATTGAAAATATGAAATATGAGTAATTGAATATAGTACAGATTGAGACTCAAATACTTACTGACTGAAAAGTACTCTAGTTTCTCTCACAACCAGAAGAACTTGAGGTCAATGAAAGAATCTTCATAGCCATTTTTTGTAAATTTGGTGTGTCAACTCCATACATCCTCCACCAAGCAACTAGGAAATATATTGGTAATTTGGTACTAAATTAGAGTCATGAAATAACAAGAAAAGAAGTCAAAGATATGAAGTAGTAGTGTAGTACATAACTGTAGTGTGGATTCAACATGCACTCGTCAACATAACTGTAGTGTGGATTCAACATGTATGCAGTGCAATTCAATGAAGCATCAAGTCTCCCCTTCATCTTCTTGTCAACAATAGCCATAACTTCTTTGTAGCGAATCTCCAAATTACTATATGCCTCTTTGATCTCCCTCTTTGACTTCACAATTTCACCATAAACAAACCCCATAGATGGTCTCACATCACCATCAACCAAACGAAGAACT